CAAGATTCCAAAGAAGACCACAGAAAAGTTGGTTTCTTCGATGCAAGCTCGATTAAAGGGTGTCATCAAACAGAAGGAGGCCACACAAAGTATTAAGTTATTTAATAGTCAAAACATTTAACATGAAGTTCCTCCTTATAGCTGTTATATATATGCCATACTGGATGTATGGTACCATGCAGTTCATTTGAGCAGTGTAAAAGGTATCATTATAAATCCTTTCATGTAATTTATTTGTTTATAAATAAAAGCACATTTGCCACCGTGTACTCAGAGTAGCACTAAATGTTTTTTTCAATTTCACAAAAATTACGCACTCAGTTAACAAAAAAAAACATTAATCCAATCGGTTCCAAATTTTAATACGTTATTCTATATGTGGCAACCCGCTGCAAATAGCGAACCCTACAGCAGTGGATCCGAAGGTGGCAACCCTGACAACGAGGCATGAGGAATGCGGGCATTCTATTATATACCGGTCTCGGAATAAAGAGTGATTTAAGTTTGAAATATAAACGTGTTTTTATTGCTAAGACATATTTATTTTGTAAGTTATTACATTGGCGACGAGGTAAAACCGAGACCTATAATTGGTGAATTCTAAACTTACATTTAAGAGGAATGGCTGCAAATGAAAATAGTTTTATTGGCATTGCAGTATTTTAGTGCGCATGTATGTATGTGTGACTTGCAAGAACAGTCCTTTTGTTTCTTCCTTTCCGTCATGCGTCGCCGAATGGTGGGAATTACAGAGAAATTCGTGAATTCGAGAATACATCGAACAAAGTCAATTATGTAAGTCAAAAAGAGAATTTTGATTCAAAGGCAAAAACGAATACATAGCTCCACTTAAAAGAGGGACTGAGTGACACTAAGTTGAAAGTCATGAGAATTATTGTAAAAGCGTAGAGGAAAACGCAAAACAGAAATGCGAAATAATTAACTGAGGAACAGTTTCAAGTTAAAAATGAAAATAATTTTGAATCATATTATTGGTTACTATTGAGACCGTAAGCCAAATCATAAGCTGACACAGTCAGAGGCAGTTTGCCATATCATAAGCTGACATGGTCAGAGGTAGTTAGCCGAAAACACAAGCTGAGACGGTCAGAGGCAGTTAACCCTAATAAAAAGTTAAAAAAAAAATGTTCTTTTACTTTCAGATATGAAATATCAAGATGTGCGAAAATATTATTAAACCGTTTCTTTGTGAAACAATAGAAAGACCTTTATTGCGGAGCGACTGGGAAAAATGGTTTCGGGCATTCAAAATATATATCGGCGCAGAGGACATTGAAACACCCAGTAAGAGACGGAGCAAATTCGTTGCCCGATGCTCTGATCAATCCAGACGAGGATAAACAGACTGATGTATTTTTGGTGTTGGTGAATAAACTAAGTGATTATTTTTCGCCAAAGCAAAATTCAACCTTCGAACGGCATCTGTTTAGGAGCCTTTCTCCTTTGGAGGGCGAGAGTTTTGCGAAATTTATTGTCCGTTTGCGTCAGCAAATGCAGAAATGCTGTTTTGGAACCACAAAGGCTGAAATTGAAGAGATTTGTTTAAAAGATAATATTATGGATTCCTGGACTTCCGTTCAATTAAAGAACACACGTTGGCTGAAATCATTGAAGCTTGTCGGGTAGACGAAATTAGTATGCAATCCAAATCGGATAAGGAGACAATAAATAAGATATTCAACCGGAAGTCTGAAAAGGAAACCGAATGTGGCAGATGTGGTCGCATCGGGCACGCGGATGATAACGCTACATGCCCTGTACGGCAGGTTAAGTGCAACAAGTGCACATGCATCGGACATATCGCCCGGAAATGCAGAACAAGTTGCAAACGCCAGTACACACAGCCCAATAATAATGGCGCCAAGCGATTACGGTCACACGTACGATGGGTTCAAGATGCAGATACCTATTCTGAAGTGAAGGCAACAAAAGATAATTGTTTCCGTAACTATAGTGATGGTGAAGACGATGAATCGATTGATTGCTACATCGGTGGCCAACTTGTTTCTCTAATAATTGACTCAGGCTCTCGTTTTAATTTAATCAGTCAAACGGATTGGAACAAAACAAAGCAGTAGTCTTCAACATCAGATCAAATTCCGATAGACAGTTTCGTGGCTACGCCTCAAAAAAATTGCTCAGCGTAATTTGAGTTTTCGAGGCTCCCATATCAGTCGGCTCAAGCACAGAGGTAGTCGCATCAATTTATGTAATTAAAAATGGGACACAATAACTATTAGGCCGAGATAGCCCAGTTGCGGTCGAGAATAAGGTTTTGGCTAAATTGGAAGAAGCATTAAACAACGACATTATAAAGCCAGTGCACGGCCATAGCCCTTGGATCTCACCAATCGTGGTAGTTTTTTAAAGAAAATGACGATAAACGTATGTGCCTGAACATTCGGATGGCGAATAAAGCGGTAAAAAGGGAACACTATCCACTTCCAACTTTTGAGTCATTCATGACTAGGTTTGAAGGTGCCAAATTTTTTTCGCGAATTGATTTAAAGGATGCCTACCACCAATTAGAACTGGATGAGGAGAGCCGACAGATAACAACATTCATAACGCCAAAGGGGTTGTTCCGGTACAAGCGTTTAATGTTCGGAATAAATTCAAACGATTCAAATCCTGAGATATTCCAACGGCGGCTCAAATAACTTTTACCGCCTTAGCGAACACGACAAAACCGTCACGGAAGTCCGATCAATATTTAAGGAAAATAATGTCTTACTAAACGATTCAAAATGGGTTTGGAAAACGAATCGTTTGAAATGTTTAGGCCACATTTTATCCGACAAGGGAATTAATGTTAATCCGGAGAAAGTGACGACCATCACGTCTTTTCGAAATCCGAAAAATAAGGAGGAGACCAGAAGCTTCCTTGGACTCGTCACACTTGTCGGAAAGTTTATCCCGAAATTGGCCGATCGAACTGAACCATCACGACAGTTGTTAAGGAAAGAAATTAAATTTGTGTGGGGCCCTAAAGAGAAAGCAGCGTTCGATGACTTAAAAATTAGATTGGCCGAAATACCCAGACTCTCGAATTTCAACGTAAGCCACCGAACTATGGCACTAGGAGCGGTACTGCTCCAGTTCACAGATAACAATGAACCATTAATAATTTCCTTTGCAAGTAGGAGTTTGTCTGATGTGGAGAAGCGGTGGAAAAGTTATATTCCTACTTATCAGGATTGGAGTTTGAATTAGTTACCGACCACAAGCCACTCGAGACTATATTTAAACCGTCATCAAAACCACCAGCTCGCATTGAAAGATGGCTTCTTCGCTTACAGGCTTTCAAATTTAAGGTTATCTTTAAAGCCGGAAAAGAGAATAATCAGACTCTTTGTCTCGACTATGCTGCATAACATCAACAAAGGATTTGGAGCCACGAGCAGAATATAGCATTCTTCACATACTACAGAGCTCAATCCCGGCATCAATTAGTATATGCGAAGTAGCAGAGAAGAGCATACGGGACGAAGAAATAGTCGATGCTATGACTTGGCTGAATGACGATTCTTGAACATCGGCTGTCTTGTAAAGATTGCCTTTTAATCTCCCAAGCTAGCAATCCAGAACCGATGAACAGAACGACGTTTCCAACGGGTCCGTGGATTTACGTGGCGTCCGATTTACTGGGTCCATTGCCAAACGGCGAGTTCGTATTCATCGACTATTTTTCACGTTACATGGAATTTAAGTTCCTTCGTACTATAACTTCCACAAGCATAATTAACACTATGAAAGACATTTTCTGCCGACTTGGGTTTCCAAAATACTTAAAGACAGACAATGGACAACAGTACATCAGCAATCGAACATATTAGAACTCCGCCCTACTGGCCCCAGGCAAACGGCGAGGTAGAAAATATGAACAAGTCACAAGGAAAGAGATTAAAGATAGCTCATCAAAACAAGGCTAACTATAAAGAGAAATCCAAAAATTTGTTCATATGTATAACGTAACTCCACATGGCAGTAAAGGAAATTCAAGACTTAGGAGGCGAAATGTTAGATTCGACTGAGCGGGACCGCGATGTTTGTGTTAAGCAAAAGAGAAAAGATTTAGCTGACAGAAAGAGAGGGGCGAGGGATATCGACATCGAAGTAGTAATCAAGAATGTTGTATTCCCGCACAAGCTAACACCTAGTTTCGACCCCACTACATATGCTGTAATTGAGAGGAAGGGGAACATCGTAACAGTGTCTGGAGATGGTCGCCTTAAAAAGGTACCCAGTGAGAGCTCACCGAACGATATCTTCAAACCTGGTGTCTTACCCGAAGCGCAGCTGATTTCCCCAGAAGATTTCCAGGATGCACAGCAGTCTGAAGTTCAACCACCGCAGGCATCCAATGTGAAAGAACCGAGCCCGGACCACGGATTGAAAGTGAGACTGGAAAAAAAAGGAGGGATGTGGCAACCCGGTGCAAATAGCGAACCCTACATCAGCGGATCCGAAGGTGGCAGCCCTGACAACGAGGCATGAGGAATGCGTTCAGTCTATTATATATCGCTAGCAAACCAACAGTGTGTGGTCTCGGAGTAAAGAGTGAATTAAGTTTGAAATATAAACGTGTTTTTATTGCAAAGACATATCTATTGGTTTGATTGATTTTTGGCTGAAAAGAAGGCGATTTTCAAAAAAATGTTCAAAGGTGCGCCATTTTGTTAATTTTTGTGCGAATTTAATAATCCTAGTTCATGCCATATCCATACATGTACTCTTCCTAAATCCGTTGGAATTTTTGGTTTCAGATGTTCCAGTGAGCGGAAATCCTTTTGTTTAATGACAAAAAAAAAATAATGTTACATTTTTTCTTATTTTTTAAGTCTTCAGATAAATAGATGCAAAGTTACAAGCTTAAAAAATAATATATGTACATTTACCAGCCCATTGAAAATCGTCAAAATTTGAAATCGAGAATGGGGGGCGGTCCCCTTAACACGATAAATGTCAAAATATTTAAATGAGTGTCAATGATCTTTATTGAGTTTTATGGGAATATGCTGGTTCAATAATTTGCGATTTCGAATCAGCAGAAAAACAAGGTCTGTGGCCCTCCTGAATGAAAGCGGAGCCGATTTAAATTGGTTTGTGCTTAAGGCACAGTGTACATTTGGTTGTCTTTAAGCTTAACTATAATCACAGTTTAAAGTCAATATTGTTTCAGTAAAATGATCTACTAATATAGGCAAATTAAAGCTTTTCACTAATTTGTACAAATAAGCACGAACGTTTAAATATTAGATAAAAGAATTAGCTAATATCAAGGAATCCAGCAGAGTTAAGGGTGGGATCCAGACCCGGATTCATATAATTGTTTCATGTAAGGAGACTGCATTTGAGCCAGACGCTCTCCAACTTCACTCTCTGTCTGAATGAGCATAGGTATTTGTTGAGGCAGTTCGCTGGTGGCCCACAGGTATAGGTCCAGCGTCTTTTCTGTGCAATCAGCGATGAACCGCACAAAGGGCCGAATGTCGCCCTCGTTGGCCAACTTTAGGAAGTGATAGTACTTGCTACGGACCTGCTTAGGAATAATAACGGGCGGGTAGCCTGCTCGCATTAAAAGCGTGTTCATTAGCAGGCGCGAGGTCCGTCCGTTCCCATCGATAAAGGGGTGAATATGAACCAACTTGTAGTGCGCGATGGCCGCATAGCTGGATATAAATCGGTATGGTTTTATATTTGGACCTAAGATGTGTTTTACACTCACTTAACGGGATGCAGTGAGCTGCTTTTCTCGGAGTTTAACCAACGTTGAAAGCGATGCATGAACAGAGAAAGCTCCCCTGGAACGGGTGGTATATGTCCCCCAACGTACACCTGATTACGCCGAAACTCGCCTCCTTGAAGGGGGTCTACATGCCCTAGAACTCGACGATGCAGCTCAAGAATGTCCTTTATAGTGATTTCTATTCTGTATAAAAAAAACCAAATATATTGATCAGGCAACTCGTAAATATAGTATAAGGATCATATTGAAGTCGCATAATGTGTAACAGGGAGAATGTTGCGATTCCAAAATGTAAAAACACCTGTGATGAAACAAGAACCTTACTTTTGCACCAGGCTAGCATTGATGTACTTCATAGCTAGATCCATTCCCAAGATCTCATTGTGTTCGTCGATGGATTTTCCCTCTGCAGTCATGCGTGTCTCCAGAATAGACCGCGTTTGGGCCAGCGTCATAGTATTGCCCTCGATGCCTACTGAGTGATAAATGTGCTGAAAATAGGCTTCCTTTTTAGCACGTCGCAGGGCGGCGTTGGATTCGTGAATGGCGGAAAGAGCATCTCGTTTGGAGTCCAGCGACTGCAAACGGCGCTCATCTAGATTCTGCACCACGTCAGCAGTACGTTGTCGGTTGGTAAGCGCTTCGAAATTGGTCGGATTAATAGTCAGGGCCTGAAAGTAATACTGATCCGCCAGAACAATATTGCGCTGGTTGTGCTCCAGGAACTCGCCATAGCGAAGCAGAACTTCAGGGTGTCGTGGGGCTAAAGCAAGTGCATGTTTAAACAAACGCGCCGCCTTTTCATCCTTTCCCGCCAGGTACATTTCGTGAGCCAGCCGAAGAGCCCCCAGCGCCTCTTTGACGTTCGTCTGCTCCGCTTCCGTGTAACTATCGCCGACGCTATCGGTGATGCTCTTATCGTAGAACTTCTTAAAGGCGTTCAGCTCCTCCACGGAGTACAGTGCAAACTCGTCTCGCGTCTGTAGGTAGTACGCGTTGGGCAGGTGGTGCAGTTGCCGTAGTTTCCCGCTTAGCTTGGAAGAACTCAGTGCATAAAAGGACAAGGCCGCAAGACTGCCGGTGATAAAAAACAGTACTGAGCGATAGAGGTAGGCTTGCCTCTGCGATCTTCGGAGTGGCTTTATTTGATCTGCCTTTGACTCTTCAGGTGCCGTTCCCATGGTCAATGGTCTGTTGGTATATATAACACACAAATTTTATATACGTTGTGCGCCAGGTACATCCTAGAAAGAATCAAAACACTGGAATAGAAACTGTTTTTTTTCAATATAGCAGTCTGCTGCCAGCAAAATCTTCTTTCTTCTTCTTTCTTTGAGAAATGTAAGTTTCCTCCCCCAAATTACTTATACCCTATTCCCACAGACGAGCATTAACATTCTATACACTGCCTCGAGTTTCCTATCGATAAGGCTAGCGATTGATTAACTGATTAAGCCAAGTACTCAGATCGACAAAAAATGTCCGCCAGTCATGAGAAAATTGCATAGCGTTGCCAGTCTGCGGAAATGAACTTTAGGTCAACCCTAGCGAAAAGATTTAAAAAATTTAAGCCTAGTACTCAGATCTACAAACGAGTATGCTAGCATAAAAACTTCATCCGTCCATTAGGTTGTGCCGTTCTGAAAATTTCCAAGTTATAATCTATTTAGAACATGTAAAGTAATAGCACATTCGATCACATTTTAAAAAATTGGTAAATTTCAATGTATTAATTAATGCCCTCTTCCCATAGAGTCCATCCGTTCGAAACTGTTGGGATTTTTGACAAATGTGAAACTCCGATTCCTACAGAGCACATCCAACATCCGATAGCAAGTATTCTGAACAGCTGTGGCTCAGCATTTTAGACCGTTGCATTTTGCACAACATTTAAAATGAGCACAATAGCGTTATAAATGACTGCAAGTGATCTATGAGAACAACCAAATCGAACTAGTACGTCTGCAGATTTTTCCCAGCCTGCAGACAAAATTTGAACAGCTATTGCCCAATATTGTGTTAATAATAATAAGTCAAGTTCATTATATATAAATGTTTTTGTTTTGTTTTATTATAATTTCATAATTTACTTCATTTTATATGTTTTGCTCAATGTTGTCAGTACGGTATGCGCCTAAGAAAGAGTGGAGCAACACCTAATGCTGCCACACGGATGGAGCAGTAATTAATTAATTATTACAAGTATAAACAGCATTTTTTGAATTGGCGCCTTCCCTAAAAATTACCCGCCATATATTTTTTTAATTTTCGTAGTGAATGTTCCAATTTCCACCAAAAAAACATCGCCTAACTATCGCATACAAAATCCGTCAAATTCGGATGGGGAACTAACTGGGAATTTTCGGAACGGCAAAACCTTATGGACCATCCGTTCAACGGATGGTGGATGGAGCTCTGTGGGAAGAGGGCATAGGTTCAACATGGTTGCTGTGCCAATATTTCAGTTCGTCACTGTACGTTTCTTGGGGACAGCACCGGCTAGCTCAATGCTCAGGGCAGGGTACCCCCAATGTTCCTTCTGTTCCCAACACTAGATTCGATACAAATTTACGTCTCACATAATACTTTCAACTGGACCATCTCTAACGACAACAAAAAGTAAAAAAAACGAAAAATGTAAATATCGGACGCAATTACGAAAAAGTGGCATACAGATGGGCTTGCCACCGCGCTCCCACCCATCATATGGTGCCTCAGTGGATTTGAGGGGGTACCACCCATGACAGGTCGGACTACGGCCGGTTAATCTCCCCAAAGGTATGTAAGTGCCTTAGGCCAACAACATCCGCATCTCAATAAGTATGTACTATGTACTCGCATTACTCTGCGTACACCCCCAAAAAATGTCAAAATCAAACTTTGAACATTAATTGTGCGGCCATTTATGCATGTATTTTATTCATTATTTTTTTAAACAAAACTATAGTTTATTGTCTCCATTGACGTAGAAATATTAGAAATATTCAACAGGGGGTTATATTTTATTTTTAATTTTAAACTTAACACTACGAAAAAGTATACGCGCAAAAGTCTGCGTACAGCAGTTTTGAACTTCGAGGAATGCAGGATTGTACGATTACCGTTAATTTTGTTGTCGCCGATCTATTTTAGAATGTCTAAAAATAGACATTACGCAGTTAAAATGAAACTCTTTCATTATAATAACGAGCATATTGCAACATGGAACAAAAAGGCAAGGAAATTTCTGTTGAGGAGCGGAAAATGATATTAAAAGGTTTTTTGGATGGAAAATCTTATAGAGAAATTGGTGCTTTAGTTGGTAGAACCCGCTCATCCATCCAAAGAGTGATAAATAACTACAACTCGGCTGGAAGTATCTTGCCAAAGGCTCGTTCTGGCCGTCCGCCTTTGCTTATAAACCGCGAGCAGAGGAATATTATCAAATCTATTCAGCTCAACCCAAGGACGAAAGCTTATCAGGCAAAGCTGAAGGTCGAGGATATATTTTCCAAAACAGTTTCCGAGGATACTGTACGCCGGACCATAAAAAAGGCCGACTACCATAGCAGAGTCGCCCGCAAAAAACATCTCATATCGGAATTCAATAGACAAAAGCGCCTAACCTTTACTAATGAGTATATTTCCAAACACCAAGACTTCTGGAATAAGGTTATATTTTCCGACGAAAGTAAATTCTGAATATTTGGAATCAAGGGAAAGGTTTTGGTATGTAGGAAAAGCGGAGAAGCCTTTAATAAAGAAAATTTGGTTGGCACAGTAAAGCAAGGAGGAAGCGGAATAATGGTGTGGGGGTGTATGGCAGCAAGTGGCGTTGGAAAATTGGAATTTATCGAGTCAATAATGGATCAAAAAATCGATATTGTCATATTAAACAGCAATTTAAAAGAAAGTGCTAAAAAATTAGGGCTCAAAAGTGAATATTGGTTCCAACAAGACAACGACCCGAAGCACACGGCACAGAATACCAAGCTTTGCCTGCTGTATAACGTCAAATATCAGCTGCGAACACCTCCCCAGAGTCCTGATCTAAACCCAATTGAGCATTTCTGGGATTTTCTTGGGAGGAAAATCCGAAGACACACGATAACATCTAGAGAAATGCTCAAGAATGTGATTCTCGAGGAGTAGGGGAAAATTACTGCAGATGAGACAAAAAAGAAGTGGATTCCACGCCGAGACGCCTTACGGAAAATCTGCAGAGAAAAGGATACCCTACCAGTTACTAAAAATAATATTATTTGTGTTTTAAATAGGTGTACGCAGACTTTTGCGGGTACATTTTTTGGTAGTGTTAAGTTTAAAATTAAAAATAAAATATAAGACACTGTTGAATAATTTAAAAAAAAATACGTCAATGAAGACAATAAATTATAATTATGTTTAAAAAAAAGAATGGGTTGAATATATGCATAAATAACCGAACAGCTAGGGTTTAAAGTTAGATTTTGAAATTTTTTCGGAGTGTACGCAGAGATATGCGAGTGTACATACTACATATAAGTTAACTAAGTTAACCGGGCGACGGCAATGACCGATCGTCCGAAGGCTCGCTCCGGCCAAATTGCTGACAGCGTCTGGCCGGAAGCTCGTGCATAGCCGGCAAACACTACTCATTGGAGTGGACGCTATGAGTCTCTTTTTTGTTAGCTTTAAGTTTAAGTTTTAGATTTGACTTTATATGAATAAAGAGCTGTCGCTCATACAAATTCTACTCCGACAACCGTCGTTAAATTCTTATTACTGAAAAACTGTCGGAGTCCCTAGGCCAGCAGGTAAAGAAGGGCAGTCACCCTTCCAACGTAATCTTCGTAATTCATCTTGGAGAATTCTTCGTCCAGCCGACCAACTACCACAGTGGCGGACCTTGTCACCCGCACCCCCCTTTGGTTTTTTTTTGTTTTTTTACTGCTTCCCCGCTCCGCGCCGGTACGCGAACCGGACACCGCGCATTCACATTTCGACTCTGTTAGCTTCGCTTCTTTGTTTACCATAGCGGCAGCTCAGCTGCCACGGCCCCTTTGCTGTACAATTTTGTTTATGTAAGGCTGCTTAGGCATGCAACTCTTGGTAGATGGAATTTAACATTGCTGTCCATGTCATTCCTAAATTATAGGGATACCAAACAAAATAGCGACTCAGAGTCAGACTCTGAGAGACTTCTAATTACTTCTACACCGAGGCAGGCGGCTACCAGTGCCGCTCCCAATACAAACATGTCCATAAACGCGGAACAGCTCCAGGCTGTCATCCAGGCGGCTATCGCCAACGTCCTAGCATAAAAGGCTGGCGAGGACCAGCGCAAGGAGAATGAAATGCTCAAAACTATAGAGAACTTAGGTAGGCAGGTGGCAGAGGCGCGGATATCACCCGCCCAGATAGAAACCCCCCAGATTTAAGTTTATGAACCCATTGATATTACAGGCAATGTTCAATGCAACGAGCCCTTAGACGCCGTTAAATGCCTTCCCGAATTTACGGGGGCACAAGAGACATATGTTTCTTGGCGGCAAGCGGCAGTAGCTGCATATTTTATATTTAGAAATTATGTAAATGGCTCACGCCATTACCAGGCGGTAATTATTATTAGGAGCAAAATTAGGGGCCCTGCTGATGCCGTGCTACAATATTATGATGAGGTCGAGAAAAAATTTACCCTCCTCACAAACAAGGCCACCATGTCGCACGACGCTTCGGCGGCAAGGGTCCTATGCGAAAAATTCCGTGATGATGCCCTTCGAGTATTCATCTCGAGATTAAAACGCAGCCTCACAGATGTCCTCTTTGGCCCAAGAGGTGGAGGCAAATAACGAGAGGTATTCCTTCACTGCTTCGTTTGCAAAAAGCCAGGAGGATAAAGAAAAGAAACAATATCCAAAGACGCAGGAGCGCCAACAGGCCACTCCTCAAAACAATTTCCAAACAGGTGCTAGCAAGAATCCATATTTCACAAAGCAGCACAAAGTTCAGAGGCAGAGAGTTAACAACATTCCGCAGAGCGCAGGCGAAACTGAGGATAAATACACCGCCGCAGCCTCAGGCGCGGTCCAGGAAATCAATGACGACGCCATTCATGAATATGATTCAGACGTTATTAATTTTTTAGGGGAAAATCCCTGCTACCCGTCATCAGACGAAGAGTAGCGGGAGTAGATTAGAAGCTTTTGGTAGGGACGGGCGCGGCAAAAAATTCTTCCGTACATACGAAGGATTGAAAGGCATCCGCCCGGTAGAATCGCCATTTACGATACATTCTATCCATGCCGTCACCACCGTCACTAAGAAGTGCTTTGTCTCCCTATTCAACTTGAAGGCCACGTTCTTCATCTTACCAGATTTGTCCTCCTTCGATGCCATAATTGGCCTTGACCTGTTAAAACAGGCAGGGGCATCGCTTTGTCTAGCTTCCGGCCACCTCAAATGGGGTTTCGAAGTAGAACAGTTAGAATTCCAATCGTGCCCCGACGTCAATTCTACCAACATTGATTGCTCGGACGCCCCGCCTCTAGCTAGAGAGGACTTTATAAAAATGCTCAGCGAACGAAAAAAAGCCTTTGCAAACGCCAACGAGGCCCTACCTTACAACACGTCGGTGGTAGCTACCATCAGGACGGTTAGCGAGGAGCCCATTTATGCCAAGCTTTACCCAATGGGTGCATCAATAGCTAGGCCCATCTCCGATATCCTGAAAGGGAAGCATGGAAGTGTCAGTAGGCACAGATCCAAAAATATCCAGGTGCAATTTAGCGAACAGCAACGGCTTGCTTTCCAAAAGTTGCGTAATATTCTGGCTTCATAGGATGTCATCCTCAGCTACCCTGATTACAAGAAGGCATTCGATCTAACGACGGATTGCTCTGCATTTGCTATTGGCGCGGTACTATCCCAAGCGGGAAGACCCATCACCATGATATCTAGGACCCTAAAAGACCGAGAAGTTAACTACGCTACTAAAGAGCGTGAACTGTTAGCCATAGTCTGGGCACTGGCCAAATTACGTCATTACTTATCCATAAATATCTATACTGACCACCAGCCATTGACATTCGCAGTATCGGAATCCAATCCGAATACGAAAATCAAACGATGGAAAGCTCGCATCGACGAGTCCGGCGCAAAAATGTTTTATAAGCCCGGCAAAGAGAATCTCGTTGCGGATGCCCTCTCCAGACAGCAACTTAACGTTGTGGAGGCGAAAGAAGCTTATTCGTGTGCGGCTACTATTCACAGCGAAGTATCGCTTTCAGAACCAGATAACTCTGGAGGAAGCACGCTTTCCGTCTAAACGCAGCTTCGTGCTCTTCGGAAACAAGAGACGGCACAACATTGACTTCATATGCAAGGAGTCACTGCTTGAGGAGCTCGCGGACGTTATAGTCCCCAAAGGCGTAAACGCCATTCATTGCGATCTTCATACGCTGGCAATGATACAGGATGAATTGGTCCGGCAATTCCCAGCCACCAAATTCTGGCACTGTAAAAACCGTATTACAGATATTTTCGCAGTCGCTGAGAGACGAGAAATCCTCACCACTGAGCATAATAGGGCTCACAGATCTGCACAGGAGAATGTCAAGCAGGTACTTTCGGAATACTATTTCCCGAAAATGACCAAGTTAGCGAATGAAATCGTCACTAACTGCAAGACCTGCGCTAAAGCAAAACATGACAGACATCCTAAAAAACACGAACTCGGCGAAACTCCAGTACCGTCTCATGTGGGAGAAATGCTACACATAGACATTTTCTCCACTGATAAGAAATACTTCCTCACATGC